GGGGGGGGGGGGAACTTAAGAGGAAAAAAAAACCTGACATGAAGTAAAACTATAGATAACTTCTAAAAATCTATTTTGGTTATTACAGTATGACTTCCAACAGCAAAAGAAGCATAAAAACACTGAGTTACTCTACAACGGGAGGTCAGTATATCAACTGACGCAAGTCCCATTGATTTAGTGTGTCCCATCAATCCAGAACTAACAACTGCATTTAGACCTTAATTTTTAGGTAAGGTTCTAGCTAGAATTAACGACTGAATTTAATCCTTAATTTTTCCATAAGGCTCCAATTGGAACCAACAATCAGATTTAGATCATCACTCAGAGTAAAAGAAAAAACACACTGCTACACCTTTGTTTCACTTTAAAGGACCATGTTATTTCCCCAGTGGTACTTCCAGCCCTTAAGATTATAGTTTATGGTGAGTAGTGGGAATTGCCCTGCCTTGTCTTCTCCTCTGAACAGCCATGTGAATAAGCGACAACTGAAGATACTGTTGCAGTGGACCTTGCTCCAAAGGTTGGTGAAAAAGGGGCATGAAGTGTTTTTGCTCTTATCGCATCTTTATTTTAATCTATAAAATGAGAAATTATCACGTTTTAACTTTAAAAAATTGTAGAATGACTGCATAATAAGGGTGCCACTATATGTTCCTTTAAAATATTTTTAAAGGTAAGCATAATATTTTGATATATATGTTTAAATCAAAACACATTTGTTTTGCTTTTGTACTAGTTCCTTTTACTCATTAAGTGCATTGAAATGGTAAAGCTGTCTCACTGTTTCAGACCATTAATCTACAGTATGTCATTCAATTGTATTTTCATTTTTTAAAAAAACGTACTGAGAATTTGTACTTGCAAACATTTATTTTAGGCGAGACAAGTTGAAACATGAATACTGCTTTTAGAATTCCACTAACTGTATTATTATATTCTAGGACTATTTTCATAGTTCTCTATATTATATTATTGTACAGGAATAGGCTAAATTGCAGAAGCTGTTTTAAAAGATTTTAAGGGTGTGTTTTTTTCCCCCTCCTATGTTTCCTAGGCTAAATTGCAGAAGCTGTTTTAAAAGTTTTTAAGGGTGGTTTTTTCCCTCCCATGTTTCTATTTTGTAGGTTATAAGGAAGGGAGAAGTCAGCTGCTGCTGGATTTGTACGGCATGCAAGGAGAACGAATTTGTACAAGATGAGTTCACATGCAAAGCATGTGAACTGGGATGGTGGCCTAATGATGATCTGACAGGTGGGGACAATATCTTACAGGTTCTTTGCCTTTAATCAACCCAGGATGCCAATTTACGTCCTACCACAGGCATACTCTCTAGACCTCCATCTGATTATACTTTATTACCTAGCTATAGGTCTCCCTCAGCATCTTTGAGGGAGCTAGCATCTGTGATGGAGCAGTAACCTCTCTCTGAAACATCCTAGTAGTGTCCTCTCCAACAAGTGCTATGGTATCCTTTCTTGCTGGTGAAGTCTTCCACACCCTTTTGTAAAGGTCCAGATTCCATGATGCCAGCATTTGAAGGTACCAGTCAGGCCCCGGCACATATGCATCTGATGAGCAGATTGGAAGAAAAAGGTCCTCTCTTTGATTTGTTCATACCTCACACACAGAAACCACCCAGCATGGCATAGTATTTGGTTCCCTAGGTCATGCAGTGACAAAGGTAAAACACTCACCAGTGTCTTTGAATTCTATGATTTTACATATCAGGACAAAACAAAAATCATCTGGTCCTTAACGGGTCTAAAAATTAAGTAAATACAACCTCAGATGAACAACAACACATGACATATTACACCGTGACTTATTTAACAGAAATAAAATGAAAATGGAGAATTCAAAGAGGGTGTATTTTCTTTTTCACATGACTATACACTCATACACGCATGCACACGCGCGCGCGCACACACGCACACACACACACACACACACACACACAATTATATTTGTAAAATACATACAGATGTATCACACACACACACACACACACAAAATTACATATATTTGTAAAATAAATACAGATGTACGCACACATACTTGCAAATAGATAAGAAACTGAAATATATATATCGGTTTGCACTCAATGAAAAAAACAAACATTTTCATATATGTATTATTATGTACACATAACCTATAACTTTGCAAGCATTTATCCATTGCAAACTGTTCTGGGAATACCTGTCGGCATTCAGCAATGTCTTTTTCTAGAATACATGAACATTTAACTCATAGTTGTTCCTTCAGATCTTAATACCTTCCCTTTTCTTGTTTTAAAATCATTTGGGACCTGCTATTTCTTGAGGGTATATTGTTATATCTTTTTAAGTGCCACATTACAGCCCTTGCGTGTTAAAGGGTGGATATCCTGAGGAACTGTAATGCCTTCTTATCTTGCTTATTTTCCAGTGATCTAATTCTATCTCTTGTTTGTATTCTGTAGGCTGTGAACCCATCCCTGTCAGATACCTCCAATGGAGTGACATTGAGTCCATTGTGGCCGTGGCATTCTCTTGCATGGGCATCTTGGTCACCATGTTTGTGACCCTTATCTTTGCACTTTACAGGGACACCCCTGTGGTCAAGTCTTCTAGTCGGGAGCTCTGCTACATTATTCTTGCTGGGATCTTCCTTGGCTACATCTGCCCTTTTACCCTGATCGCTAAGCCCACTGTCACATCCTGCTACTTCCAACGAGTCCTTGTGGGGCTTTCCTCTGCCATGTGCTACTCTGCTCTTGTCACCAAAACAAACCGAATTGCACGCATCCTGGCAGGCAGCAAGAAGAAGATTTGCACTCGCAAACCACGCTTCATGAGTGCTTGGGCCCAAGTAGTGATTGCCTCAATTTTGATCAGTGTACAGCTGACACTGGTAATTACCCTGATCATCATGGAGCCCCCTTTCCCCATCCTTTCCTATCCCAGCATCAAAGAAGTCTTCCTAATCTGCAACACCAGTAACTTAGGTGTGGTCGCCCCAGTGGGCTATAATGGACTCCTCATCATGAGTTGCACTTACTATGCCTTCAAAACTCGCAATGTGCCCGCCAATTTCAACGAAGCCAAGTACATTGCCTTCACCATGTACACAACATGTATTATCTGGCTGGCCTTTGTACCTATATATTTTGGGAGCAATTACAAGATCATCACCACTTGCTTTGCAGTGAGCCTGAGCGTGACAGTAGCCTTGGGGTGCATGTTCACTCCCAAGATGTACATCATCATCGCCAAGCCTGAGAGGAACGTCCGTAGTGCCTTCACCACTTCAGATGTGGTGCGTATGCATGTTGGGGATGGAAAGACACCTTGTAGGTCCAACAATTTTCTCAGTATATTCCGGAGGAAGAAGCCAAGCACTGGAAACCCAAAGTAAGTATATTGTGTATCTATCACTCTCTTCTCTTCTCTTCTCTTCCTAGCTTCAGAAACCTGCTGCATTTTCACCAAGGTCTCAAACACTTCTCCAACAATGGAAGGCAAAAGTAACCATAAAATAATGATATATTTTATGGTTACTTTTATGCTGTGGATCAAGGGAGAATGCTGACATGCCTACGTTAACCATCTACCCTACATCCTTATTTTGCTTCCCATTTAATTTATGTTGCCTGGTCCATAATCACATGCAAATAAAATGACTAACATTTTTAAATCATAGAATCAAGGGCAGTCAGGTATTGCCAAATCTTGGCAAGGTATTGACAAACCTCAGTACTGCTATGTGTCTAGTGGCTTATTAGTTGCTGACCAGCTGGTCTATTAGTCATCATTTGTGTAAGATAGGATTTTAAAGAGCCCCAGTCTCAAATAAGGTCAATAAATGACTAGTAATAAGTGGACTAGAAAAAATTCTTTTTGCCTGCTGCTCTGTGTAATGCAACTACCCATGACAAGTCATCTGAAAAAGTTATTGTAATATGTAACTGGCTGTGCATGGAATGGTTTTCTGACAAGCCCAATTATTATAATTTAAGGCAGAGCAGCTGTCAGCGAACGGAAACATTTCTCTTCAAATAGTAACTCAACCACAAACTAGTTTATGAACCAAGACTTATGAAGGAAATTATATTTCTATGACCAGTCTTCAAACACTCTCATTGTTTTTTTACACTGCACTCACAGTAATTCTTCTGTCCAGAGACACATGCACATTGAGTCCTTTAAATGGAAATCATTTTTCCCATGGCTTCATTTTCCTTACTCATATAGAGGATGGAATGGAAATTTTATGAAAGAATAATTGCAGTGATTAGAGGGGTTTCTCATCTGAGGAAAAAGAAAACCCACATCCACATGTGTACTCTCTGCCTTACATTAAAAGTACTTGATATTTGCAACTGCCAGGAGCATAGTTATTAGCATCAGACTGATTTCCTCCAACTATATTTGCACTTATTAAGCTAATAGGATCTTGCCCAGTCTTGCTTTGAGATTGGGCACACTAACAATAGTTGTTTGTCTTTGATCAAAGGGTAATGATTAGTAGAATCATTTTTCTTAACTCTGGAGACTGTTCAGCTGAACTGAATGTTCTAGTATGCAACCCACCAGTGTTTCATAATCTTGAGGACTGAATTTTTGTGGCTTTGAGGGTCTTAGTCATGCAATATACCAGCCTTTCTCCACCTGTTGTCTGTTGCTTTTTGTACTATTGGATTACAATTTACGGAATCCCACAACCAGTTATGCTGTCAGAGGTATTCTGGGAACTGCAGTCCAACATAGTGGGACAGCACAAAACTGGGAAAGGCTAGATCTTGTCATGGTGAGCATGGTGAGCAAAAAAAAAAAGTAATCCGTGAACTCTTTCCTGAATATTTTAATATCTTTTTGAAATGTTTAACATCATAGTAGCTTCAAGTTACAAAACTGCACCACACTGCACTGTGAAGACTATGGTTATAGTGAGTATTTCCTATCAGTGATTAAATATTTACTTATTTAAAACATGTTTAATTGAAATATGAAAAGAAACCAGTAACTAGCATTGATAAATGTAATATAATGAGGGCTGTTGCATGCAGAAAATTCAGTTCTATCACTTTGCTTGGTTGTGAAAATATAATAGTAAGTTTGCTTCCATTTTTATCCCTCTATGCAAGTTAAGATCCTACAGTTATTACTGTTAAGTGTATAATCATAATGTGCTTATGCTTTTCCTATATTGAATTTTGTTTTTAAAAAGAAAGGGGGAAAACATTTAAAAACATATACATCCAAAAAGCTCAGATAAGATATTTTTAAAAACAAAATGATATATTAATAGACATACAAAATATTTTCAACCTAGGAATGTAGTAGACAGAGAAGAAATGAAATATAGTTTAACAGCCAACAAATATGCATGTCCTTAATAAAATACTGACCATTTGCCCTGAGGAAGACTTCAGCAGGTGTTCAGTCAAGTGGCAAGACTGTTAGTCTACAAATTGTAAAGTTTACAGAGTATAAGAGAAGGAATAATCAATTTATATGTAACAATCTTTTTACATTGATTCTTAATTACATAATAAGACATTTTCTTCCACCGTTTTGAACTTGGGTTCAAGGTGATTAAACCAAAGTTAAAGATATTTTCCCTAGGCTTATGAATGGAAGGAAGAATGAATTTTCTTTAATGTTTGGGAATACAGAACTAAAGGATAATAGTTATTCAGGACTAATTGTTTGGCATACAAGTACAAGCAGCACAAAAAGTGATCTAGGCAATGGCAAGGCACAGAGACCATAGGTAGCTCATGGCCAGAGCAGAGGAGCAACTCGGGATTGGACAAGTGGTCTCCCCTTGTTCCATCCATGTGTCAACTTAGGCGCAGATAAATTTAAGGGTCATACAGAAGAAGGCATAAAGGTACAGAATATGGACTGAAAAATATAAGCACTATAGCAGATCAGATTGAAGGCCCATCTAGTTCAATGCTCTATTCATGATGGTCCAGCAGAGTTCCTGTGGGAAGCCCATGAGCAGATTATACACATTAAGTACTTTACCTTTTGTGTTCCCCAGCACTACAGATAAGGATACTGGAGTCCTGATACCAGAGAAAAATATATATTCTAATACCCATTACAACTAGGAATCTGATACTGTACTGGCAAACTTGGATGCAAACTGATCTGCAATTTATGGACTTATGTATGGTTTGGAACCTAACCATTCTTTGCATTTTGTACTTTCCCCAAATTTTCCAATGTAGTTCATAGTTCAAGAAATGTGCTAATACCATAATATTGGTTAAAATACATTCATTTTGACGTACATTACTCTGAGAAGTGCATAATTTACAATAAAACATCTTTATAAATGTGTATTTTGTGAAGAAAATTTGGTCAAAATTGCATAGACATTTAAAATAGTATTTCTGATTAATCTGGAAACAGAATAGAGCAAATTTATGAATGAGCACATGAGAAATTCGTCTCTCCTGGACCATAAAATTCATTGGGTGATTTTGATCCAGTCAGTCTCCTAAAGTGTGACTATTTTTCAGGCTATTATTGTGAAGATAATGTAGGAGAAACAAGAGCTCTATATATTGGCTTGAGCCTTCTTGAGGAAAGGTTGATATAAAGCAACACTAAGACTAAGACTAGTAATACTACTGATACTAACACTGAAGGATAGAGGGGCCAGGGAATAGCAAAGGAAGCAAGAACCAGATAACATCATGTAAAGCTTTGCCATATATTCCTAGCACTGAAGAAACTAAAATACTGACGGTTAGAGATTAAAGGGGATATTATCCTTTCACCATCATTGAGTATAGACTATCTCAAGAACTATCTCTAATATTAGTCATATAGTAAAATATGGGCTCCTGACATTTTTGTGCAATATGGAGATCAACCTTTCTTGGCACCTAACAGTTCTGTCAACCGAACATTATATCATAGTGGATGAAAAGCTGTGAAATTCCCCCAGTCCTTCCTTCTCTTTCCCAGAATTCTTCTCATTCCTTCACCTTCACTCTCTCTAACTTCCCCAGATTATTAATCACTACTACAGTATCTTATTCTGGTAAAAAGGTGTGGTCGGACCTGGTGTAGAAAAGTTGATCTGGCCATGACCCAAATGGCTTCTTCTGCCCATGGCAGTGGCCCTAAAGATGGATGGAAGAGCAAGAATGGGATGCAGAATTCTTCCACATTTTCCACTTGTTCCATTGAGGTCACTGTTTCCAAAAAAAGTAAAACTCTCATATAGGGATGCAGAATTCTTCCACATTTTCCACTGTCCCCAGTTCCATTGAGGTCACTGTTTCCAAAAAAGTAAAACTCTCATATAACCAGTCCCCGTTTCCAAGCCACAGAGCCAGTGTTTTGTCAGAAGAATATCTTTCGTGGTCACATGGCCAGTGCGACCTAGACACGGAATGCTGTTACCTTCCCACCGAGGTGGTCCCTATTTATCTACTTGCATTTGCATGCTTTCGAACTGCTAGGTTGGCGGGAGCTGGGACAAGCGATGGGCGCTCACTCCGTCATGTGGATTCGATCTTACGACTGCTTGGTCCTCTGACCCTGCAGCACAGGTTTCTGTGGTTTAGCCCACAGCGCCACCATGTCCCTCTTTCATATACCCAACCCTGTCACAAACTCATCGCCAAAGCAACAGCCACCACCAGATGGAGAAGTAGGACATAAAACATATTTCTTTATGCTTTTGTGTTTGGATTAGGACTAAAGTGGGAGGGCCAACAAGGAGCTGAGCAGAGAAGTCATCCAATTCTTATTTTAGTATAACTATGCCTAATTTGCATTTCTTCAATGAACACATGAGCTTCTAATTTCCTGAATACTGTGGGATTTATTTTAGTATAACTATGCCTAATTTGCACTTCTTCAATGAACACATGAATCAAAGACAGTTATAGTTCAGAGCTTCTAATTTCCTGAATACTGTGGGACAGTTGTTCAAGTAAAAGAAAAAAGCATATGTAATGTTAATATCAGTGTAGATGATGTACAAAAATGCATACTTGGTTTACAAAATGTGTATATCAGAAGCAAGTGAATAAAAAAGATGTTAGGAGAAATACACAAGAAATGCATGAACACTTTGTGAGGGCAATTTTTTTAAAATCACACACTGGTGGGAAAAGAAGATAAAACAAACTTAACTGTGGATAAATGAGAAACTGAATGAAATCAAAATGTACAGATTACTTCATTTCGGCCCTGTCTTCCAGTTCCTTGTGTCTATGCTAGAAATAAAACATTTTGAACTAACTGTAGTGATTAGATGGTTTGGCTATGACATGGAGATCCAGGTTATAATCCCCACATAGCCACATTAAGCTCACAAGATGACTCTGAGGCAGTCACTTTCTTTCAGCTTGGCCTACACAGAGCTGATTTATGAGAGCAGA